TCCTTTGTCAGTCCGTCGACACCTGGGGTCTTATTGTTATTCATATTCTGAACTGCGAACTGTAGCTCTTCCATGGATAACAGTTTATCCAATTCGTTTGCTTGCTTATCAGATAATGTCCTGTCTAAGTATTGCAACATTTTGGATCTGGCTGCTCGGATATTGGTAGGGGTGGTTGTTGGTGTTTTAGATCGGTAAAGTTCTTTGTAGAAGTTCTTTGCCACCTCTAACATCCCTTCACTGTCCGTGCGAGTTTCCTATAGGCCTGTTAACTCGTTGAGACCCTCTATTGAGCTGGACCTGTTGTTTGCTTTTATTCTCGAGAAAAAATGCTTAGACATTTGTTCATTTGATTCTAGGTCAGTCGTTCTGGCTCTGATCTGTAGTCCTCTCAGTTCCCACAGACGCCACATCGCCAGTTCTTCTCTTGTCCTTTCTAGTACATCAGTGTACAATGAAGAGGAGGGGTTGGTAGCTAGATTGTTTTCGACTACTCTGAGGGTCGTTTCGAGCATCAATTTCCTGTGTTTCCTATCGTTGGCCATTTTCCTTGAAATTCTAGCTGATGTTTCGGCCAGCTTGAGGTAGCTTTCTTGGAACCAGTCCCATCTGTCTTGTCCTATGATAAAGCCTCCTCTAAGATTGTGCCAGCTAGTCAACATCCCCTCTTGGAATTCTTGACTAAGTAGGAGAGAGTTATTCAGTTTGTGGAAACTATGTCCCTTTTGGATGTATTGGTCGAAACTGATGATTAGCTCAGTTATTCAGTTTGTGGAAACTATGTCCCTTTTGGATGTATTGGTCGAAACTGATGATTAGCTCAATTGGTTTATGATCAAGGCCTGGGTACGGCGCCAGCACCAATACATCTGCTTCCTTGACCATCCCCATCTGTGTAACACTCCGTACGACGTACGGGGGGGTTATCGTACGGTCGTACGTACGGCCGTACGTACAGCCCCGCACGGAAAAAAAAAAAAAAAAAAAAAAAAAAAACAACAACAACAACAACAACATTTTTTTTAATCTCAAATTTGGTAACGAATTTCAATATGACCCTGAGGCAAAAGTGTTTCAGTTTATTTTTCTGCATAACATTTTTTTTTTCAGATTTTTTTGAATTCTTTTTTTTTTTGCTTTTTTTCCGTACGTACGGCCCGTATTCGTACGGGGGTATACACAGATCCCCATGACGTGGTCGGTAATGAGGAAGTAATCTATGCGAGAGAAAGCCGTGTGGTGGGCATGATTTTGAACTGGGGCTGCTTCTTGAGATGACTGTGGTGAGGCTGCTCTGGATATACGATCATTGAGCCTTGTTGTTTTGTCCTTTTCTGCCCTTCTTGAATCTGGTAGGCCCGTAGTTCTTTCTTTTGTCTGTCGTAGCCTTGGGTTCCCTTAGTCTAGGTTCCCATCTAGATGCATGTTGGTAGATCTTGACTGTTTGGCCATAGATGTTTGCTGTTTGGACAGTCAGATAGGTCTGTAGGTGGCTGCTGTGTGGTAGGGCTAGGGAAGTTGGGCAGAGGTAGGCAGAGGCCTACGAATTTGGGGTTCTTTTTATTGCTTTTGGTTGCGTTGCTTCCCTGCTGCGCTATTGTGGGCATGTACGCAGGGCAGCTTCTCCACATGCCGCTGGCGGCTATAGATGGGGCCGTCCAGCTCCATCGGTGACAGCTCTGGGCTCGGCGCTCAAGTGCTGATGAGCGCTTCCTCATATCCATGTGCCTGTTGGGGTTTGGTCAGCTGCCACCGAAGCTGCACTTTCAGTGGTTCCTCTTTGACATGGCACATCTTCATCTTCATCTTCATCAAGTTGCTGGTCTTCTTCATCATCCTGTGAGCCAACGTCCACTCAAGCTGGTCTTCTTCATCAAGTTGCTGGTCTTCTTCATCTTGACATTGGACGATGACATGAGACGTTAGCTCTTGAGTGGACGTTGGCTGGACTTCATCTACAGTGAGCTTCTTGAGTGGTGCAGAGAGGGGCGTGCTATGAACCCATTCAGGAGAGAAGCTCGTCAATGTCGGAGTACAAAATGTGTCCGCGCAGTCTCAATGTCTCCAGATAATCGTATACATCATCAAGTAGCCCAATGTCTAGTCACCAGAGAAGACGGTGGAGAGGGGGAGATGAGACTGAGAGGGTGGAAGAGAAAATATCCGTCAACGTAGCAGATAGAACTTCCTCAGTTTCCCTCTTCTTCTTCGGCAGCTCCCCTTGCCACATCAGCAAACAGTCTCCTCTGACAGAATCTGACACAGAGCCGATCTCATTGTTACAGTAGCGCTTGTCAGCGCAGATACCTCGTGAAGACGATCAGCAGCGCACAATGTCGACACGTCAGCAACAGGTAAGCTTCCCTTCGACCAACCAATCTCACAGCCCTGATCCTCCTCCTTCTTGCCAATCCCCGATCAATACTGTGGACAGTATGGCCAATGCCACGTCAGCATAGTCCCGGTAGCAGACAGTGTGGTCAGCGCTACATCAGCGTAGTCTCGGTAGCAGACAGTATGGCCAGCGCCACATCAGCATAGTCTCTGATCCAGCTGGCGCCCAAGATAGAGATGGCGCCAGCGTCCAATAAACGCAGAGCAGTCTCGTGTCGCCGTCCGATGTCAAGCCAGCGCAGAGCCAGCGTAGAGCTAGCGTCCAGCCAGCGTCGAGCAGCAAGTGCAAGACTAAATGTCGGTCAGCAGGGGCTGGGTCAACATATGGTTGACTCGGCTTGACCAGCCTTTAGTACGGCAGCCCAGATTGACCCACGGCCTGGATTCCATACAGTTGCAGATTCCCACTTGGACTGAATCCTTGGCAGATACCTGCAAACAACCAAACGTGTGTGTCTGGTCTGTGGCCTGGGCTGGGACCGTGTGGACTTCGACTCGTGAGCCTGAATTCCCGAGCTGCTGTTGACCTTTGAATTTCCACAGTCAACTGTCGCACGCAGGGCCTCTGAGACCCCCTTTTAGGTCGTGCTTCGGGTACCCACAGCAGCAGGCCTCGTATCACGCAATTTCCTATGACTTGGGCGTGGCCTTCGGCCCCTGTTACGGCCCTTAGACCCAAGTTTCGACGCGTGGCTAAAGATTACTGCATACTTTACGTTGAGTTATTGCAGGTGTAGGATTTAGGAGGGTGTGTGGCGATTGGCAGGCTTGACAGGTTGGGTGCCTGCAAGCACCATAGCTAGAGCTTGAGGAAGACAGAGGAAGAAGAAGACTCCCGGATACTTCGATGAAACCTTGTAAATAATTCGTCCACGGGTGTTGATAACGTGGTCGGGCTCCAGCGTGTTTCATGCTGTTGATTGACTTGGGGAGAGATGGTAATTAGAATTGATTTTCATTTCAATTTTATTTTCGGTATTTGTGTGCTTCCGCTGTGTATTCTTATCATCCGGTGTGGTGTGGATTGCTCCCTCCAAAGGTCACTTGGCATTGCACATGTGTATGGGAACGTGTGGATGCCATGTTGGATCTCGTTTCAATCAGGCAGGCACATAACAATAATGAGTTTGAATGGCACATTTGCTTTCAGACAGTTTAAATATCAAACCCAAGGCAACCCAAGGCTACTAATAGGAAGGGCCTGGGCCTTTTCTTTTCCTATGTTGAAGAAATGGACTGGCAAACTAACGCTTGCTAACATTTGTGGATCTTGTTTCTCCACCAACAAAGCATCGGGGGGTACGTCAACCTGAAGCGAATTCTCCCGTCTGCCGTGCGTTGGACCCGCTGCAGGCAAACCGGTACATCGAAATGGGGCCTGCTCTCTTACAGCTGCATTCTTTGGAGGAGGGGGGCTCACACTGTTTGTTGAAAAAGAAGCAGTCCATTGTGCTCCCAGTAGGCCTAGGCTAGTGGGCTTCCATTTTGTAAGCCACTTTTCAATGGAAGAAAGCACAAAGGGCCCGGGATGCCCTTGCTGCTAGGCCTCAAAGCACCAGTCAGCCTGCGCCTTTTATATCCGATGGGCTGCAGTGTGTGACCCTAAAAAGAACAAACCGGCAGGGTTGCAACATCGCCAGGCACCGCCAGCCCCCCCTTTGTGTCAGGGAGTCCTGATCTGCGATTTTGCGCCACTTTCAACCGCCACATTTGAACAAGATAAGCTGGGAAGGGAAACACACTGGTGGTTTGGAAATGCATGGCGCAAAATTTTGCTTTCTTAGTGACTGTGTCAACGTTGTGCTGTAGGCGAAAAAGCTCGCACCACGAAAAGCCGCCGAAAAAGCTCTGTTCACTTGAAAATCTGTCCTCATTTTCCCGCTCTTTGGCTTGTGATCGAGTTGCAGAATTGTTACTCTTATAATTGTGCTTATCGACAAACATCTCATAGTCTGGCTCGGATTGACTGTCTGGCGCCCTGTCGATCTCACAGTTGCCCCAGACCTTCCGCTTGAAGCTGTTATGACCCAGCCCTCCTATCCGCCCTTCAAGGGGGTCGTATCGGAACAGCATATGCAGATATTTCTGCAGATATTTCTGTGTGTAGGTTTTGCTAATTTCAACGCAGTTCTGCCCTGCCATCTTGGCATCTTCTTCGCCCGAACACAATGCACCCTCATTCTGAATGTATACAAGCCATCTTTCCGGTCCGATGCAGTCATAATCAGGGTGCGTTACGTTCGAGGGGGTAGTGCAAGAGATGCTCGTGGCAGAGGGGTTGTTTGGGCACAAAAGTGGGACCGGCCCAGATTTCAGTGGTACCAAGGGTACCAGGCCAGGTCCTGGGGAGGTTATCAAAAGTTAACCTCGCCTGGGTTCCAGTGGTACCAGTAGTACCAGGCCAGTAAACAGGGAGGTTATCAAAACTGGGCCCAGACTGGGTTTCAGTGGTACCAGTGGTGCCTGGCCCAAACTGGGTCTCAGTGGTAGCCGGCGAGTTCCCGGGGAGGTTATCAACAGTTTCTAGTTTCTTCAAAAACACAAACCAACAATGTCTTTTCAAGTTTGACTTGGCAGCAGAAAAGGAATCGAACCCTGCTCCACCCGCAGTAACAGAGCATTAATGTGAAAATCAACTACATGAAGGATGGTGACATGGAGCGCAATTGAATGGATACGAGGGAAAACAAGACTCTCTCCACCAACTTCAGGGGTTGATATATCTTTGAGCCTGCAAAGGATGTGATGTTGCTAAATGGTCAAAATCCAAAAAGGTCCAAAAAAGTCAAAAAGAGGTTAAAAAAGGTCAAGAAAAGGTCAAGAAAAGGTAAAAAAAGGTTCAAAAAGGTCAAAAAGAGGTCAAAAGAGGTCAAAAAGAGGTCGAAAAGAGGTCAAAAAAAGTCAAAAAAAGGTCAAAAAAAGGTCAAAAAAGGTCAAAAAAAGGTCAAGAAAGGTTAAAAAAAAAAGGGTCCAGAAAGGTATTAAAAAAAAGGGTCAAGAAAGGTCAAAAAAGGGGGGAAAAGGGTTGAAAAAGGGGGAAAAAGAGGGGGGGGGGGGGGGGTAAAAAAAAGGTCAAAAAACCATCAAAACACTCTCCATGAGTCAAACAAAGCCCTATCAACAATAAAAGAGCTTGCTTTGACATGGCCTCCACCCCCAAATTCCTGAGATATCTCTGTCGTGTCCTCGTCAGCTGTAGAACTCCTGAGGCTGACCTTAAACTTGCTCTCATCCTTCATCTGTGGTTCAGCATAGACCACTGCCCCCATCGCTCGTAATCCACGGTCCTTGGCTTTCATTGCAAGGCGATTCCCTAGTTCACTACGCAAATGCGCGTTCCCATCGGCACGGGACGCAAGTAATCTCCCTAACACCCTTACTCCTCCACCTACTCGTCCCTCTTCTTCTGAGTCCCCTCCCCCTTCATTATCGGTCCTAATCTCAATCTCGAACGCATCGTTAACCAAAACTCCTAGAATGACTTCTCTCTCAGCAAGCACGGACTGACCGCTTTTAGTCAACTCTGTGAAATCGAGTGATAACAGCTGGTCAAAAATCTTGGGGTTTGACCGGGCATCGTACTCTAAGTCTAGGTCCCTAAGCCCGGCACTGAAAGCCTTGCTCGCTGGAAGCTTCCATCTCCAGAGATCAGCATCTTCAATATACGCAAAGAACGGCTTCATGTCCACCATCTGCTGCATTGCACTTCTATCCTTCATCCCCACACCAGACTTGGACCCCAACAACTCCGACATGCCACAATCCGAAGACTGCGCCTGGCTTCCGTATCCCTCTCCTTTCCCGGTACCCTCAGTGTCCTCATTTCGATCGACTCCACAGTGGGTCCTGTTTAATAACTTCTTCAAGAAGTAATCGTAGGCCATGGTAGCCCCACTTCGATTCATGTCGATGAGAGGGAAAAGATTGTCGCTGATCGGATCTCTGCCTGGTCGCAGGAGCTCCTCAGCGGCGCTCTTGTGGTGGTCCAGAATGACAACCGCTTTGGGTGCCGCCTTTTGGGCCAAGGCTAACGCGAATCCGCGCGGTCCCGAGAAGTCGATCAAGTAGATGATATCGGCATCGTCGAGGAGAGGGAGAAGGTCGCTCCACATCGGAGGGAGATACACAGGATGAGGAAAGAAGATCGTTTTTGCTCCTATTGCTTTATGATAAAGATGGGCAGCCAAAGCACCAGACACACCATCGGAGCACGGATAGTGATAGAGTACGAGCGCCGTCAGATCTCCACCATCCTTCGTCTCCAGCTTCTCCAAGTTAAGGAGGAGACCTCCACCATCATCACCGCCATCACGATCGACCATGTCCACAGATGAGCCCTGCTGCGGATGATGACTCCTCCACAAAGACCTCTCTCTCGACGCTGACAGCAACGCCGCCTTGTTCTATCATTGTGACCGCATGAAGAAGATATAAACCACACAAAGCAGCAGAAGCGACGTTCGTGTAGAAAATACAGACGACGCCAAGTAGCAGAAGAAGTGGATGTTCACGCAGAAGATACAAACAACACCACGCAGCAGAAGTGATGTGACTGTTAGTGCAAGGAGCCTTGTGGTGATCAGGTTGCCGCGACGTGGGGAGATACACCGGTTGAGTCGTTCGTATGAGACTGAATTCTCCTCTGGAACATGGCGAGATACACAGGTTCCCTTTTGTTCGTTTGTTTCGTTTCTTTTTTTTTTGTCGTTTTGCCAGTTTCCTTTTGTTCGTTTCTTTCCTTTTCTTTCTTTTTTCTGTCGTTTTGCGGGTTTGCTTTTGTCCCGCCCGTTGTTTTCGTTTTGGCCTGAGGGCCTCGCTGCACTACTCTCCAAATGTGCAAATGAGACTGAATCCACTGCTAGAACACGGAGAAATACAGTGCCATCTTTTTTGTCTTTTGCACGTGGAGAGTACCAAGCGTTCGCACCGCAGCTCTCCAGATGTTCGAAAATGAGACTGGATCCTCAGGCAGAAAATGGGAAGATGCACCGGTTTTCCTTTTTTTTGTCGTTTTGCAGGCCCTGCATCGGGAAAAGTTCGTTTAGCATGGCTCCTGCGCAAGGATCACATTTGCAAATCAAGGGGAAAAAACCTACTTCAACAAAAGAAAAAACTACTTTCTTTTTTGTGTCTGTCGCAGACGTCGCACAGCTGCGAGTTCGCGCACAGCACCTGCGGCCCGCGTGTTGCTTTTCCGTGTCGGAAAAAGGCGGTGGGGACAAACGGGATGCGCGGGAGGGGGGGGATGGGAGGGTGAGGACCAGGGCAGTGGACGGGGGGAGGAGCAAGAGAGGGACCAGCGGGAGGAGGAGGAACGGGA